AGGTTTAATAGTAGCACGCAGCTATTTCATCTTCAGGACTAGGACCCTTCTGCCTTCCTTTCTAGCTGCACAAGAAAGGAACTAAAGAAGCTGATCTGACCTATCAGAATAAAACAAAGTTTGTGGCTTGGCTCAATAGGAAAAGGTTTCCTTGACAGATTGAGTCAATCAGTGCAGGCATTACCAAAAGAATTTCTGAGATTAACTATTTGGATAATGCTTATATATATATATATATATATATATATATATATATTTAAGGTGTTGTGCTTGTACAGTTTAGATGTAATTAAATTAACTCTGTACTCTTAAAAAGATATGTTCAATAATTTTTCTTCAACTACTTAGCATAAGGTAGTTGCAAAATTTCATCAGCAGTGTATGCACAGTTCAGACTATAGGATCAGCATTTTTTCATTTAAAACAATTATTTCTGTACTTTGTTCTCTCCTTCCTTTTTTAAGAGACAGTTTAGTCATGACAGAAAACTGTTAACAACAATTACTGTGAGGGATAGATAATATTAAAGGCTTGAGCCTGTTTCCACAGATCTAGGCAGAAGTTTCCTTATGGACTTCAGCATAAGCAGGGACAGCTGCTAGGGTAACCACATACATTACATTAATTTTTCATAAGGACACATCCAATGCTCACTGATTTGAGATGAGGCAGCTGCCTAACCCTTCTCAAGTTGTAGGGAAGAACGTTATCAAAACATTTACATATGGCTTTTCACCCTCAGTTTTATTACCTGTACAATCTGATATAGCAAAATCAGGTGAGCTGAGGCTTGGTATCATTTATCTTTTTTCACTTGAAGAAGCATGGTACATACTGTAAACTATCTAATCAATTTTAAAGCTGCAAAGGATTTTCTATATAGTGGAGGGAAAAGTTAGTCAGTTTTGGTGTACACAGAAATGGAAGAAAGGAACGTATTCAGCTCTTGCATATGATTAACACAGCCATCTGTTTCACCTTCTTGCATAATTGTCAGCTAATCAATTGCGAATTTTAAGTGTCCAGTTGCTTAACAGCATTGTACCTGCAATTGCAATTCATTATCCTAAACACTTTAGAGGTCTTCAGACTGTGAATTATTTATTTCCATGAGAAAACAGTGAAAGGAAGATGTCAAAGGAAAGCAAGGAATGGAGATACAGGTAAGAAGGGAGGAGGGTGGGGAATACAGATGTGGGAAATTATAAGATGCAGATAAGATATGTGAGAGTAAGTAAGGCACGATGACAAGCATTTTTATGATGTGTTGATGGAACAGGGATGTGATGGAGAAGGTGACAGGTGGAAACTGGCAGAGGAAAGCAAGCTTCTAGCAAGAGCAGGAAAAAGAGATGAAGGGTTATTGAAAGAGGAATTGGGAACTCTGGCACACAGGGAGAAGGCTGCAGAACATGCAGTGGATGTGGCTGGTGCTGGCCAGATTGTCAATGCAGTCACCACAATGGCTTCTAACAATAATTTCTTGATTATCCTGAATTACAGATTTAATTCCTCAAAGTCCTTGTGAATGGTTTAGCATGATGTAACAATGTATTTCTCTGGTATTATAAGACCCATGACCTTTGTCCCTCCAAAATATGAACTTGATAGGTGCCCTTGTCTCAGAAATCTCTTGTAGTGAGATTCTGATCCGTTCAAACAAGAATTTTGAAATTTTACTCTTAAAGCAAAAGAAAGTAAAAAGTAGAGAGAAAAAAAATGGAATTTAATCTCTGCTTCACTATTTAAATGCATTATTGTTTTGGAAAATATAGTTTAGGAAAGAATAACACATCTGTGTAATATATTTGTGTATTAAAAGAGACGTAATTTTCTTTATCCTAATTCCTTTCTCTCAGCAATTTACTTACATGCAAAAAAACAGTCTATGTTAAGTTCATCAGAAAGATACTGGATGAATATTTAGAGAAAATCTAGGAAGAAAAAGTTATGTTTTATATACATTGTTAAAAAACCAACTGATTCAACTGTGCTTTATTACGAAGAAAAAGAAATTTTAGGACAGTAATAAAAAGATAATCTTATACTCTTAACAGTTTAATCAGAAATTCTCATGATATTTGCATTACTTTGAAAATAATCCATTAAATAGTCTTCTGATTCACGATTTATTTTTACCCATTTGTAGAAATATTTGTTCCATGGGAAAAGGAATGAAATGATTGTATCGTATAAAAGAGTCGCTTCATTGACCAGCTTAAGCCTAAAATAAGAGGTTGTAGACTCAATGAACTGTGCCAAAAATATTCCAAAAAATGGAAACCTGGAATTATTAAATTTGAAAAAGACTTCTATATTGAAATCCAACTGCCAACCTAGTGCCACCACCTTGTTCACCACTGAAACATGTCCTCAAGTGCCACATCCATTCATATGACAATATTCATCTGATAGGAGCTAGCCCTGCCCTGGAAGCAGTCCAGCATTTGTTGAAATGGAAATAATTATTTCTGTTGCCTATAGCATTTCATATAAGATAAATGAACAGGAGAACTGAATTTAAAATATTTATTTAATTTCTTATATTTTCAAAATCTTTTCCCTTAATCACAGCTGTTTCAACATGTCTAACATTACTGCATCCAGCTTTAGGAACACCTTCCTCGGAGATACAGAGACACAGCATTTTACCAAGAATACATTTCTTCAAGGACCCATTCTTCATTACTGATTTGAAGTATATTCTGGTTTCAAATATATGAAGGAAATATATGAAGGAATATGAATTTGCTGTGTAGAATTATGTAGTCTCCAGTGGACAATGATGGATGTGGAGAACATTGCAAAACATTGTCTAGTTGCATTTTAGTTTTCACATTTACACTATGCTGCACTTGATTTTGTAAAATGATGTGTGATTTCTTGCAGCTTATTTTGGTTTAGGAACAGAGTTGGTATTCAAGAAATTTGGTTTTGGGTAAATAGAAATGGCTAAACAAATTTCACCCCTGTACTCATTCTCACTTCTCTTTGGTTTTTGTTTGTTTTTATTTTTTTAACAGCTTTTGTGAAATCATGCTTCAAATAATTTAATAGAAGTCATGAACTACTTGATTTGCTTAAGCTTTAAAGAGTCAATGACAACAAGCATCCTTTCCTGTGATTCACCTGGGCTAATAAAATTTGGAAAGACTAGAAAATACATATATATATATATTTCTCATCATCTCCCTTGTTTATGGAAAATTTTACAAAAACACACATAAATAAGAGTCAGTTGGTAATGAAGTCAGTTGCCATACTGCAACCCCAGCAATAATCAGAAAGTGCTTATACTGTTCTTCATTAAAGGGACCTTATGTTGGCACTATAATGTGACAGAGAAATTTTATATCTATAAATCATTCTTCTGAGTATTTGATAGAAAACTATTAACAGTAGAACTGAGCCAGTGGCCTTAAAAACAAACAGCAAATCTACCTGAGATACGAATAAATGAGCGAAAATCATTTCCATTCCAGAATGTTTTTATTCCTGCTTCTTTGCTGAAGGGAATTTTTTAAAGGATTTTATAATTTAGTTAATAGAAAGAAAGGAACAAATTTCTGAATACCAGTGTGAGAGCAGAGGTCACAAAAAGAAGAAAAGATACAAAAGTATTTCTGAACTGATGATTCTCCTACACAACACTCAGTGTCTGAGATTTCTAGCTGCATGCAAATATGAATAGCTATCCCATAAACTTGGACAGCATCACAATTTCTGGGACAGATCAGTCTCTCCAGGAGTAGAAATGGCTCTAAGATTTGCCATCCTGATTCCAGAGGCCCTGGAACAATTTAATATCCCCAGTAGAAGCCAGAACAGTCTGGAAACCACTGTATGCCAACTTTTAATGGTCTCTGAGGCACATTTTTTTGTCTTGAGTCACTGCAACAAAGCAATCCAACCACGGAGTCTTATATCCATTCTTCCTTTGGATGTGTGTATATATGGAGAAATTATATTTGGGTCATTTACCCTGAATACATTAATAACCTCCTCAATGAGAAGTACTCCATAAAAACAACTGCAATTTTGTATAAGATGTCATTAGTATTCATTCCTCCATAATCTATTATTGAGCTGTTCCAATTGTGCTCTAATTAGTTCTTGATTTTATAGCTATATCTGTATCTCATTTTTCTCTTTCTCTAGCTCTGCTTATACCCAATAATTTTGCTACAATTTAGAATATATTTTTAAAAAAACATAGATAGTTTTAGATAAGATAGATAGATAAGATAGAAAAGATATAAGATAGAAAAGTTTATATAATATCTACTATTACATGTCTGAATAGGAAAAATGAAAATTTATCATACTTAAAAGAAAGTTCAGGCACTGTCCAGACTAATTTGGAAGAGCTGTGAATTTTTTTTTATTTTTTATTTTTAGTTTGTTTGTTTGGTTTGTTTTGAGGTTCTTTAAGATTAACCTGATAATGGAAGAATTGGTTTCTAAATACAAAATGACACCAAATGGAAATAATCTTATCCTAATCCTAAACATTTAATTCTTTAGACTTATGCATTTATCGTTGGTCAATAGAGTAAGAGAATTAATAAAACAGAACCAGAGGGCACCATGACAGTTAGAAACTGGAATGTTGTATTTGTGTGAGTTAGATGAGAAATATCAACCTTGGGGAAAAAAATACTTAATATCCATTTCCCTTCGACTTTGTAGAAGCAACTACAGAATTGAATACTTCCTCGTTAACAAGACTGACAATAACACAGCAAGATCATTGCAACAGAGGAGATAAGAGTCTGTATGAATTAAATATTAACATTAAAATGAGATTAGATCAATGGCAAGAGTTTGCAATTTTGCTTTAAAAAAAAATAATTAATCTTAATTACTCCCATACAAATCAGGCGAAATTATGATAGAACATGGCTCTGTGTGGATGCAATACATAGTTAAAATGTCTCGTAATTCAGGATATATTCATAATTCCAGATTTGATGACAATGGCAGGTCTGAAAGAGACACACCTGAAAATCTCCATAACTTCTATTGACCCTGGAAAGATATTGAAAAATCAAGTAAATTTTTCAAGAGTTGAGGTATTAATATGGGTAAATAAAATGCTAAGGAAAATTGAGGATGATTGCAAGGGAAAATAGGAGGAAAAGAGACTGGATAATCTTTTCTTTACAAAAGAATATAAATAAGAGAAGTTTATAAGATGGACTGACAACAATGTGAAAATATTTTAAAAATTATTAAAAATAATTAATTAAAATAATTAAATTATAATTAAAATAATTAAAAATTAAAAATTTATGGGGAGAGAAATTTTCTTTATCGTGTTCTTTATCAGATAAATTCATAAAATATTTCTATGACTTACAATTTAAAACAGGCAATTTTAAACTATAATAAAACTGTGTTTTATTATAGCATTGAGACTAATTAAGAACTGGAACAGGTTATGTATGTGCATCTCTGTCACACATTTTAAAAAACAGATTGAAGCTTTTCCTTCAAAAAAACACAGAGTTAAAACATCAATTAATTTAAAAAAATCTTCCAGCTCTTGCCAAGCAATCAGAGATGATGTCAGACTGGATTATAACAAGGGCTTTTTTCAAGCCTTGGAATCTGATATATTTGAACCTTGATTTTCCTTTCTACAAACTCTTCTCTACTCCTGTCCTTCCAAACTACATCTTTTCACATCATATTCACTATGGTTCAAGTTTTATTTTCAGATGAAACATTATAAAATTCCTAAAAAAAACCAACTGAAAAAGCCCATCAACCAAAAGGCCTACATTGTATAAAAAGAAAGTATGGGCAAAGAAAGAGACCAGAATAAAGGATAAAAATAACAAAAACAATTGGATAAACCCAACAAAATGTCCAGGATTATGGCAGGCCAATTGAACCAATAGTCTGAAGGTCTGTATATAAATTTGATGATTTGGTAATAATTTTCAAGGGTGGAAAAGAAGATGAATGCTAATGGAGTGGTCTGAATTGAATTGAGAGGGAGAAGGATTAAAAGAATGAGGAACAGATTAGGAAAGAGGGAGAAGAGGGTCTCTGATGACAACAATGGATGACAACTTCCCCAGTGGAAACAGAGACTGGGAAAAAATGTCACGTGTTGGGGAAAAAATCCAAGATCTGTATTTTACTGATGAGATTAAGAGATCACAGCTGCTTCCTGGCTCCTGCTCATCTCTGTATGGAGACAGGACAGGAAACCAATGGCCAGCTATTAAGCAAGGGCTGGTAGCTTCCATGTCTGAAAGTTTCACAATCACACTTTTGCTGTTTCACCACTGGTCCATTTTCAGAATTTAGCACTGCCTCAGGTTTCTTTCAGTATGAATTTATTCCACCTGGTTGTCTGTTATACATCCTATTTTTAGGCCTTATGAGAGTTCAGGCATAAATCAGCATTGCAGTAAGCCTCTCTATTATCTTCATACCCTGTCTAAACATGTGTCTCTAGAACCCAAGGACCATTCCTTGTTATTTTGTCTGAGATTTTATCACCAGGATTCTCCTCCCATCCCCTAGATGCAGGTGATTCCATGCAAATAAATGCATCTGCCGTAAGCATCTCTGCTGTTCATATCCAAGATTAGGTTTTGTACAAATTTGACTTCTAACTAGTGTCTGCTGCTTGTTTTGCACCTGTAGGCAGATTCTATCAGTGTAAAACAGTCAGCTGGGCCTAAATATTTCACTGTATCTGTATTACTTGTAATGGAGTTAATTTCTTTTCCAGTGTCACCAAAGACTTTGATGTGGTTTATTAGTTATAAAAACAAAGTAATTCCTAATTAAATTAGGGATTTTAAGATATCTTCATAGCCAATAGTGTCTCTAACTATATACTTTAGTACTTTTTCAGTAATGCCTTAATACATTTCTGTGATGTAACTATAACCCATCTGCCAGTTTTATAATGTTTTTAAGGCTTGCTAAGTTATTTCATTTCTCTTTTGCCGAAGGGAAAAAAGCCCTGCAAATCCTGCACTTTCCCATTATCATTGCTATGAGACAGGTGAAAAATCTGTATATTTATGAAAAATGGAACAAAGCCTTCCTGTACTGATCTTAGGACACTCTCATCCAGCAGTGTAATTAAGTTACAAAAAGTTATTATTTATGTAATATTTAAAAATCAGTGCTTGCCAAAAGTAAATGAGAATGCCCAGTGACACTGTGAACTTGGGCAAGCTCCTACACTCACCTGCAACCACTAGCATTGTCCTCTCAGACATCACGGGTCTGGGTTGACTGAAGGCTGTCAACCAGTTTCACCTTCCAGAATTTTTAGGATCCTTCTCAGAAAGGCATCTAAAGTAATCAAAAATGAGACAGAAGCAAACAAACAGTTCAATGACAAAAAAGCCCCAAACCCAACAACATGCAACTGTAGATTGCCTCAATTCCAGGTTCCCAAAGAAGTCTAATTTAAATGGGTTAGCCTTGCCAAACAGCCAGGTTCCCACCCAGGTTGCTTTGCTCACTCAATCACTCGTCCCTGAAGTGGGAAGGGACAGAAAACAGGATGAGAAAGATCATTGGTTGAGATAAAAAGAGGGAGATTGACTGCCAGATACTACTGTGGGTGAAAGACAATTGGCTTCAGGAAAATTAATTCAATTTATTGCCATTTCAGATAGGGTTGGGTTGTGAGAAGTGAAGACAAACATTAAAATAAGAACTTCTCCCATTTTTCTTCCAAACTCTTCTTCACTTTGGGTTTCTCTGCCCAGCCCTGAGTGGTGCAGGGAGAGTGGAGGTCTATGGGCATGATCTATCAGGTCTCTTCTGCAGCTACTTCATCCTCACGCTTCTAACTTGCTCCAGTGTGGGCTCTCCAGTGGCTGCAGTTCCTTCAGAAAACATCCCCCTGCTCCAGTGGGGGGGTCCTTCATGGACCATAATGTAGATGCCAATTGTGGAATGGCCCTTTCCATGGGCTGCAGGGAAATACCGGCTTCCAAGCCTGAAGCGCCTTCTTCCTTCCTCTCATCCTGGCATCCATGCTTTTGTTTTTCCCTCTTTATTCCCTCCATCTCTCTCCCCAGACATTTTTTTTCCTTTCTTCAGTATTTCATCTGTAGTGGGTCTATGGCAGACCCAAGCTGCCATCTGGGGCAGCCCCTGGTGTCCCCTGACAAAGGAGGACACCCCTGCAGACCACCACTTGCCAGCACAGATGCCCCTTGTGCCATGCAGGGCACAGTACATGTCTGGATTGACAGAGCCAAAGGATCACGTCAAGGAATGTTAGAGGATGATATTCCATCCTCATTGGAATTTTTAAAAGTAGTAGTAATAGTAATAAAGATGCAAAGTAATAGTAATTTAAATGGGTGTCCATGTGCCTTCCCTCTGTGTAGCAATATTAACTACTAAGAGACAGTGACCTTTGTGGGCCTGCAGGGAAACCAGCTGCCCCTCACGAAGTGTCCTCTCCTCCCTAGTCCTTCTGCACAGGCAGTGTGTGGTGAGGACAAGCCCCATATGGTGCTGGTGTTAAAGGAAACTTGGAAATGTATGTGAAAATTATGGGCTGCCTGTCTTCACAAAGAAGCCAAATTTCCGCTGAACATCAAATGCAAGAGAAGGTCTCCAGTGGTCCTCCAACATTTTGAAGTGGTGAAGCAGCTAAAGTAGTTCATCCTGGGATGCTTCACAGGGACAACTTCTGAGAAAGCATCTAGGTAGATCTCAAGTGTTGGGTATTGTAATGTGAAATCAAAAGCATTTTTTTTTTGTCTGATTTCAATGAAAAATGAGAAAATCCTTAGTTAATTCTCAAGGCTTTATGTAAAAAATAGTGTTCAGAAGGAATCAGTAGACAGAAAATGAAATAAAATCTCCTCTAATTCTGTATAAAAGGGGTTTTTTTTTACTACTACAATATGACAAGACTTTGAAGAGAAAAAAAGAAACAGTTAAATAAAGCTTTTAAAATTATGAATAAAGGATAAGTATAACCTAAAAATGGAAAACAAAAGGCAGAAAGAAAGAACAACTTTAGAAGCAGCACAAGAACATAATTTTTTTCTTCATCTAAAATGGTGTTTGTATAATTTTTAAGATTTTAACCAAATTCCTTTGTCAGAAAACTACATTAGATACATCTGTGAACAACGCATTTTCCAGTTCAACCAGGTTAGAAGGACCACGTTAATTTTCTACTTCACTGCAACATTAAGTAATAAAGTAAGATGTATTTAAACATAATGATTTAGCAGAGTTATAGGTTAACTAGCTTCTACCTGTTACATCCCATTGCGTTTTTGATTCTTGATATTGAATATGGCAATTAGTATAACAACATTGTGTAATTTCAGATAAGAACATAATTTTTTTCCTTGGTCTAGAATGGTTTTTCTCCAAAAAAAGTAAAATAGGTGAAAACTAAAAACACACATTTGTACCCTGCACAATATCTACAGAGGGATATTAAAAATAAGAAATGAAACAAAACTCTTGTTTTTTTATAAATAACTAAAGACAAGCAAATAAAGCAGAAATAGTAGTCAACTTATAGTAAAATTATCTTAGCTGACATGTTTAATCACTGGTGGAATGTTTAAAGAAAACTCTAATTCTTTCCCTCCCCAAATTTCCACAGAGATTATGTAAATTCTTAATCAGATAAGAGTGGAGGATGCATCTAGAATCAATCTTGTAACGATATATAGATAGAGAATAGGAAAGAAAGTGATATGACAAGATCTAATAATTTTATATATATGTCTATATATGTATAATTAGTCTGTAACAGATATCAAGGAGTTGCTTTTAAGCTGAGATATTTTAATAACTGAAATTATGCTCCCTAGAAATGTGATTTGTCACTTCCTCAGGAGTTTTTTTTTTGTCTGCAGCTGTAGGACCCAGGATTTCAAAAAGTAACAAACCTGAAAATAAACTTCATTAAAAAGAGGTGTAGGTCTCTTCCACAGGCTTCCTGTTTCATCTTTGATGTTTGTTTGAGTTTCAGGAGAGACTGGAATATAGAAAAGTACTGAGTATGTTAACAGTGTTAAGTAGAGAACAGAGTAAGTGAAGTGTTTTCAGTATTTCCAGTCTCAGGGCTTATCTAAAACAAGTACAATTACTAGTGATATATAAACATACAGTTAGAACAGCATTGGCACTTATTCTTATAAGTTATTACATCAGTAAACCAGTCTCAGTAAATGTTTGGCCCTGTGCACTCTTCCAAAAGCTATTGTCTTATTTTCCATGATATTGAAACCAGATGAAACTTTTCCTGCATCTATTTGACCCTAAGCAGCTATTCTCCCTGTCATTTTAATTGAATAATTCTGTGGTTTTCAGTTGTTTCTTGAAGCTACAGATTACTCTGAAAATTATTTCCTCATACCAAAAAACACACACCAACCTGAAGTGTACAAGTTTGTGCACATTTTGACCTTTTTTTGGTGTTTGACTTTGGGGTAAGAATTGATGACAGAACATAAAATCATTATTGAATGCTGTTTATCTTATCCAAGGTCTTTCTTCAGTTAATGCATATGAAAGTAAAAGCTTTCAGTAGATATCATCATTCTGTTCAATTTAATACTTCCACCTCAATCAACAAAAAAAAAAATACTTGCTTAGAAAGTCTGAGAATTATGAAAGCTGGGATAAAAAATAAAAATGAAACACTTCCAGATGTCCAGGGAAAAGCAACCAAGAATCACTTTATTCGTTATATTGGGAGTATCTGAGTCTATACTATGAGTCAATCCCATTGTAACTCTGAAGTTAATTAAAAATACTGTTTTGATGGCTTCATTCCAATTTGAATTTTTTCAGTAAAAGAGTATTTATTAAGGTGCACACAATAAATAAGTGTATTACATTCTTAATTTTTTTTTTTTTTTTTTCAAAAATCCTTCCCCTATAGATATTCAGTTTTTTCATTTTACAGGTCCTCTGAAGTTCTACTGGATTCAGTAAAGGGAAGATCATGCTACTCCACATTGAGCAGAGCACCAAGCACTGGTTGTCTCAGGAAAAATGCCTTGTTATAGACAATCACTACCATTATTTTTATTATAGTCACCTTCTCTGCTATTAACTTTCTTCCTTGTTTAACACACAAGATAGATTTAACTTGTTCTATTTCTATTGAGATTTTAGGATATATGAATGTAACTAAAGTAACACCTATGGTAACAATAGTTATATTCTTTTTGCAGTTCCTTCAGTTGTATATAGTAGTGAGAGTATTAGATTCAAAGTGTCACAGTTTATTTTTTTGTGGAAATGCTGAGGCTTACCTAGAAAAGATGACTCTTGGGTCATTTAGAGTTTAAAAATGTTCTCATGATGAGGAATTATGAAAGGAGGAATTCTAACCTCCTGAAACTTCTCTGGCCCAGCAGTGGCTGGTTCCTGTGATGTAGCATTTTGTAGCTTTGCAGTCTGATAGACAATACTTGTAAGACCTTTGGTCCTGGTTCTGTTCTCATTGCTATTTGTGTAAACCAAGAGAGACCTGAAATTATCCCAGCTTTACAGCATTTTCAAAGAGAGGAGAGATAAGCCGGTACATATCACTTACCAGGGATCTTGAAAGCAAAGAGATTGTTTGGTGCTATGAAGATGTTGTCATAGCTATTATGCATACCAATCTCAGTCTATTTTAAGTTGGCTAATTAAGGAAAAGTTGAATACAAAAGAAATGCTCTGGGGCCTCCTAATCTGAAATAATATCAGGCTGTGCTTTATCAACTCACTGAGGTCTGTTTGTGAAGATTATATGCATGCTTCTATCTGCTTTGGAGGCAGGGCTAAACCGGAGTGAGCTCTGTGCACTGCTAGAAAAACAGTGCTACTCTGTGTGCTTTTTTATTCAGACTCCTCTAACATGAAAAGATCTCTTTCTTATATAAATACAAGGAGAAATATAGGCTCTCAAAATATCTATTCCAACATGATAGTATTTTTCTTTTTACTGTTCTAGCTCTGTGGAGGTTTCTGAGAATTTCAGATTTTTAAATATAATTTTATTAATTGTCTGTATAAGTGTAAAACTTGAGGCTCTTACTGCATTTTCTCTTTAGCTTTCTCTCACATCTGAAATGACAGTCTTTAATTTAAGAATTTTTAAGAGCCTATGGATTTGACAAATCTGATATTGGACTTGGCTTAAAGGAGTCTTTGAAATGTAATATTTTAGGCATGGAACCTATTCATATTACTTTGCTAACCTGCGAAAGGCATGATTTCATCTGGGTTCTGT